GAGGGGTGAGCGGGAGGGGCGGCTCGCCCCCTCCGGGGCCCCGAATCTCGGACCCTAAGTTCCTGGGCGGTGAGGATGCGGGGACCCCCCACTTTTGTTCCTGTTAAGGCCAGGGCGGGGCGGCACTGGGGCCGGGACACAGACAGTGGGGCGGACGGCCGGAAGGAGGACGCCCCAGGCCTGGGTCGAGCGGGACACGCTCTACCCGCTTTCAGTCCCCCCTCCCCGAGCCTCGGGGTTGGGTCTGAAGAGCCCTGGGGCCCACGGGCGGAGTCGCCCCGCGTGTGTGGGTCTGCGTGCCTGGTGGGCAGCCCAGAGGCGCGTGTGCCAACGTCCATGTGCATTTGTATTTACGCACGCGCCACGCTGCGTGTGGGCATGTTGGCGAGTGTAAACACGCAGTTCACCTGGGGCGCGGGTTGGGGCGCGGGTGCGGGGTGTGTGCTCCGTGCGCATACACGTCGCCGTGTTACAGCTAGTGGCCATGCGTGTACACCCGAGTGTACCGTGCTGTGTTGGGGCCCTCCTGTGTTGGCAGGGGACTCCACCTGCAGAGTGCAGGCGAGGTGTGCGGTTCAGTAGCTTCAGCCCTCACCGGCCCCGTGCCCCAGGCCTCCCTGACCCATAGAGCGCTAGTGCCCAGGCTTGTGCTACCAAGAAGCTACTTTCCTAACTCAGCTGCCCCAGAAATAATTCGAGGTAGTATCTAGGGATGTGGCCAGAGCCACTTGAGCCCCATTCCTCACAGGTGTAAGGGCCCCAGCCTCAGGCAGTTGTACTCTGCTCAGCAGGGACCCAAGAGCCGAGTTCCCCGTGGGGAGCCAGCCCCGGAAAGGCGTTTGGGCTTGCAGGAAGGACCAGGAGCCAAGGGAGCTTCCTGGGGGTTGGGAGGGGTCAGTCTGGAGGGGCAGTGGCCTATCCACCCGAAGGACCCTTGCTTCCTGCCAGAGATCTGATGACTGTGCGGCCCTCACTCCAGAAGATGCTCTCTCTCTCTGGGAAGGTCATTTCCCCTCTCTGGCCTCAGTTTTTTCCTTTGTAACTTGGGGGTGCAAGTTGACCTCTAAGGGGTGAATAGCCCCCCACCCTCAGGGCTGGCAGCCGCACCCTGCAAGAAGCTCCCTAATCAGCGTGCTTGTCTCTGGGGCTGGATGTAGCAAAACTTGCAAAACCACATTCATGGCAGTTTGCTTGAGTCCCACATCTGCATACATGGCTCCCTTCCTGCCTGGGGCTGGGCAGGCAGGTGTCCAGTGGGCAGGCACTCTCAGTCCAGCCCACAGAGTCTGGCAATAGCGTAGTGGTCACTCCGGCAGTGTAGGTTGTTGTTGATAGATCACAGGAATTGAAAATGTGGTTTTGAGGATTGAAATGTGTGGGGGGGGAAACTCTGATCCCAAGCAGGGGCAAGAGCAGCTTGCACACTGGGGGCCCCCCAGGGCCAGTGCCTGGGGTTCCCTGAGTCTCAGTTTCACCATCTGTAAAACGGGGATATGAATACAGGAAGGTTCACTTAAGGTGAAAATGGGTCATGAACCCCCAACCAAACCTTAGGTCTCAGGGTGGGAGTGAATGAGAGGTTCTTTATAGCTAACCCCCTCTGCCTTCTATGGAAGCTGTCTTTTTGGGTCACATTCTCTGTGATTCAGGTGTTAATGGGGACAGAAGCTGCAGGGGGAGGAGGAACTTCTGTTTCCTTAAAGGGTGGGGCAGATGTTTCTCCTTGAAATTCTCACACTCAGTGGCCTTTGGAGCTACTGTTAGGAGAAGAATGGTTTGGGTGTGTCCCTGGGGCTCCATGGGTGGGGCTGGGGGTCATGAGGAGGTGCTTAGAGACTAGTACTTGCCTTCCCCTAGCTCCCACACCCTATTTGGTGACACAGGTGGGGTTTTTCAGCAGGAAATGCCCAGAATAATCATTTGATTTTACTTTAAGAAAACTACAAAAACCCCAGGGAAACCCTTGGGAGCCAGGTTGGGTTTCTGGGTATGTTAGGGGCGGGGGAGGGGATGGGCAGCGCAGAGCTGTGAGAAGGCCAATCTGAGGGGGTGGTGATGGGAAGAATGAGAATGGCAGGGGCTGCTTAGAGCTGGGCCTGGGACTTGGCAGAGCCTGCCAGACCCTTCACACACTTGACGGGTTCCCTCACCAAGCACTTTCGCAAGAGCAGCTGGTTTCCTTATTTTCTTTGACGCCCTCCTGCAGGGGCTGAGCCAGGACACACCAAATGCCAGCACCTCCCTGGGGGCTCTTAGAGACCAACACTGGAGCCCCCTCACTCCAGTCCCCAGGGCCTCCAGATGAGCTGGTCTGACCCAGGCCAGCTCTCATCCCCCTTTCCTCACAGTCCTGGGTGTAAACCCCACCTCTGCCATCCTCCTGCTCTGTCACCTTGAGAACATTCTGCTGGAGACTCAGGTGAGCGGGGCAGGGAGTGCAAACCAAGACCATCCTACTTAATTCTGGGTCTCCCAGCTGGAACCACAGATCTTAGGAGGTCACTGTTGCAAGGGAGGGAACTTGGAAGCCACCTAGTTCAGTCTCTTTGTGGAAAAAAACTGAGGCCCAGACAAGGGTGGAGTTCCTTGGTCAGCCAAGGAGAGGGACAGATGGATCACAGACTTGACATCTAGGGGCCTTGGCTCAGAGATGAGGAAACAGGCTCAGAGAAGAGTAGGGGCTTACCACCCATGGAGTTGGTGATAGTTGGGCTGAGGTCTCTGGGAGGCCTCTCCCCGTGAGACTGACCAGGGTGCTACCTGCCACCCAAGTCACAGTGCTGACACCAGGTATGTGCAGATTGGAGGCACCTGGTGCCCAGGTGGCAGACATTCATGAGGGTCTTCACCACCCACCATACCTACCCAGGGGTCCCAGGTGCCTCCTTGGGAGGTGGTAAGGCTCAAGTGGTGACAGGCCCAAGGTGGCATCAAGTCCCAGAGAGCCTGGGAAGGAAGGAGGTAGCAGCAGGGTCGGGCAGGGGTCTGAGAGTTAAGCTTGGGCTTTTCTTCCCACAGACGGCCCTCAGCGCCTTTTTCCAGGAGACCAACATTCCCTACAATCACCACCACCACCAGATGGTAAGTGTCCCCTATGGCTTCAGGGGCAGCTATGGCAGGGGTCTCCAGTTTAAGCTGCAGTGGCTCTTGGCCATGGAGGGGCCACTGGGACAGGACCTTCTCAGAGCCACCAGCAGGTGTAGCAGGCCAGCCCATTTCAGCACCGCACCTTTCCTTTGTGAGCCCCTGACTGGTGCACTGGGGGGCAAGGAGCATGTGTGTCCAGCTAGGAGCCATTGGGAGATTGGGGTCTCCCAGAAAGAGTGCTCACCCCTCCCTCTCTGCTCTCCTCCCCACAGATGTGCACTCCCGCCAACACCCCTGCAACGCCTCCCAACTTCCCAGATGCCCTCACCATGTTCTCCCGTCTCAAGGCCTCTGAGAGCTTCCACGGTGGCGGCAGCGGCAGCCCAATGGCTGCCACGGCCACATCACCCCCGCCGCACTTGCCCCACGGTGCCACCGGCAGCTTTGCAGCGCCCAGCTGGCCAATGGTGGCTTCACCCCCAGGGGGACCACAACACCACCAGCCACAGCAGCCGCCCCTGTGGACTCCGGCACCCCCTTCCCCGGCGTCAGACTGGCCACCCCTGGCCCCCCAACAAGCTGCCTCAGAACCAAGGGCCCACCCTGCCATGGAGGCTGAGAGATAAGGGAGGCCCCTCCCCCCTCCCGGAGGCCAGGACCCCGTGGGGCGGGGGAGAAGACATCTCCACTGGCCCCCTTTACCCTCTGTCTGCACCCCCATTCCCTGGAGCCCTGGAGGGGAGAGACTGGACCCCCTGTGCCAGCACACAGGCTGCCTGCAAGTATGCAGAAGTGCAGGCACGCAGCACCCAGCTTGCATGGATTTGGTTCAGATCATCTGGGTGCTGGTGGACAGAACTTCAGAGACCAAACAGTCTTTCCCAGAGGACTCACCCCACCTCAGGAGGCTGCGGAGACTTGCCTGGCTCCTACCGGAGACTTGCGCTCCTACCGTGGAGCTCCTTGGGGCAGGCAGGCCTAGATCCCCACCCTCGGGAATGCAGAGCCTTCTCCGCATGTGTGCGTGTGGCTGTGTCTGTGTATTTATACGTATGTTACTCAAGAAGCAACCTAGTTTATGGGGCAGCTGGACTTTGCATGTTAGAGTGAGCCCTGAGTCCCTTGCCCGCTGTCCCCCTCCCCAGGGCCCTCTTCTCTCCCCCAACTCAGCAGCCAGCCTTCCTGTTCCCTGCAGAGAAAAGGATTGTGGGAAACTCCAGGACTCTTCCCACCCATCCCCCAGTGCCTGCCTGCTGGGACTGCCTGCATGCCTTGCCCAGAGCCCGGGGGTACCCCATACCCATTTCCTTTCCCCCTTTTAACAAAGGAGAAGAAAGAGTTCCAAACCACCACCAGGCTCTGTGGTCTTGCCTCTTATCCTAAGCTTTGCTGCCAGCTGGCTCTTTGAGGGGAGGGCACAGCCAGCCAGAACAGAGAGCTACCCTCCAGTCCCGCACTGCTCCTGTGTGTTGCTGTCTTTTCATCCACAACATGCACTGGAATCTTCCCCCCTACCTAAGGCTTTTCCCATGAAGTTAGTTTCTGGCCTGTGTTCCCAGAATCCCAGCCTCTGTCTGCCCACCCTTCCCCCTTCCTGGCTAGAGGGATCCAGACCTCCAGGGCTAACAACTGCCTTCCGGTCTGCTGGAGTTTCACATAAAGACCTTTCTTCCTGTCTCCAGGCCCCAGTGGCTCGCTGTGGGCTGGACCCTCAAGCCCAACCTCCAGCAAACTTGCTGGGTGGGGCAGGGCCTTCCCCTGGGGAGGCGCCGGCCACAGTGCCTGTAGTCCACAGGCTTAAATGCAGAGCCAGTGAGGGCTAGGGACAGGATCAGGCTGGGGCAGAGTCCAATCAGTGCTCAAACCATTGGTCAACAAGGAGACAGGCCACTCGGGGGTGACAGGCAGTGGATCTGGGCTGCTTCTGAACTGGGCCAGGGCAGGTACCTATTCTAGCCCCAAGGAAAAGCCTGATGCTCCATACTGCCCTGGGCTACCCACACTGGGGGGAGGGTGCCTGGGGCCCTCTGCAGTTCCTCACCAGCAGACAGCACTCCCTAATCGGGGAGCAGCCCAGTGCCCAGCCCGTCTGGGCACCGCAGCCCTACGTGGGTTGCGCCTGGCGGGAGTTTCTTCTGTTTCGGAAGGCCTCTGCCTGACAGGCCTTGCCACTCACCACCATCAGTCCTCTCGCTCCCAGGGATGGGGCTGTGCTTCCCAATGAGGATGCCACGGCCCAGCTCTGTCTCCACCCGCTTGTCCTGGACAGGCTCTTGACGAAGCCCACCTGGGATGACTCTTTACTCTGATTGTCACTGAAGACCGACCTCTGGGCCCCCACTTGAGCTGTTGCTTACATCCCGGAGTGTGTCCTCACCTCAAAACCCACTTTCCAACAGCCTCTCGGTTCCAGAGAGGACACAGCTCTGCCTGAGCAGCAGCTTCTTTTAGATGGAAGGAAATTCTCAGGAAATTGTCACATCCCCTCTTCAAGTGGTAGGAAAATGATTTGTAGAGGCAAGCATTTCTGGGTTATCAGCTGTGTGGGGTGAGCAAGCCTGGGCTCTCCCAGCAAGCTAATTACTGGGGTGGCTGTATGTTATGGAACAATAGGAAATGGTGCACCATCTAGAATTTGCCGTCCTGGAGGATGCAGGGCTCGACCCCAGGCAGGCCCCCGTGTGGTCTGTACTTGAACCACATCCTCACTGCTCAAAGTGGTCCTCAGACTAGCAGCGTCCCCTGGGGCTTGTTAGAGATCGGACCTCAGGGCCCAGTTTGAGAAATGTCCCCGGGTAAGTGCTGGTCTGTTGGAGGTGAGGCCCATTTTTGTTTCTGGGGGCCATGTGGGCTGAGCCTGGAGGTCCCAGGGGGTCACATTAGGCTAGAAGGGATCTGAGGTTCCTGTAGACATTGGTGCTGGATCACTACCATGTGGGCATCCTGTGCACTGTGGGATGTCAGCCAGCATCCTAGTCCCTACCCAGTAGATGCAGGTGTGACAACCAAACTGTCTATAGATAAGGCAAAATGTTCCCTTTTCCGCACGGAGAGTCCCTGCTGTAGGCTGGTCCCACGGCTGGCTACACAGCAGAGCCTCCTGGAGGCTCTGAAAAGATAAGCACCCCCAGATTCCTGGGCCCAGTGTCCGAATTCCTGGGGTGGGGGTGGCCCTGACTATAGTTCTATTTACTTTTTAAAATATGTTTTTATTGAGTTTTAGAGAGAGGGGAAGAGAGAGGGATAGAGAGAGAGAGAAACATCATCGATCGGCTGCCTCCTGCATATCCTTCTCTGGGGATCAAGCCCACAACCCAGGCATGTGCCCTTACCTGGGGAATAGAACTGCCCCCTCTTTTTTTTTTTTTTTTTAATGTATTTTTATTGATTTCAGAGAGGAAGGGAGAGGGAGAGAGAGAGAGAAACATCAATGATGAGAAAGAATCACTGATCTGCTGCCTCCTGCAGGCCCCACACTGAGGATTGAGCCTGCAACCTGGGCATTTGCCCTTGACCGAAATCGAACCTAGGACCTTTCAGTCTGCAGGCTGACGCTCTATCCACTGAGCCAAACTGGGTGGAGCAAGAACTGCCACCTCTTGGTTCATAGGTTGATGCTCAACCATTGAGCCACGCTGGCCAGGCCTGACAGTATAGTTTTAAACACTTCCAGAATATTGTTGATTGACTTATGAACAAATTAAAAAGCATTCAATTGCCCTAGCCGTTTTGGCTCAGTGGATAGAGTGCCGGTTTTCAGGCTGAAGGGTCCCAGGTTTGATTCCAACCAAGGGCACATGACATGCCTGGGTTGTGGGCTCCGTCCCCAGTGCCGGGGTGGGGTGGGGGGGGAGCAGGGGCACGGGGGACGCATGCAGGAGATAGCTGATCAATGATTCTCATCATTGATGTTTCTATTTCTCCCTCTCCCTTTCTCTCTAAAATCAATAAAATTCCTTAAGAGCTATTAATGAGAAATAAAGTTAAAAAAAATAAAAACCCATTGCACACTTTAAAAGATGGGCATTGTAGCATGTTAATTACGTCAAAGCTGTTTTTAAAGGTAAAATAGCTCCCAAGTGCTTCCCACTAGGCACATACCTTTCCCAGCCCCCGAACTTACAAAGCATAAGGGTCCCTTGGGTGCTTGAGGCAACCGTTCTGGAGAAGGGTCCAGTGATATAGTTTTTAATAAATGCACCAGGCAAGGTGGGACCCAGAGCAGGAGGAAGCAGAGGGCAGGGCCGGAGCTGGGGACTCCGGTACTTTCCAGCAATGCAGAGAGCGGCCCTGCCAGGTGTGCCTGGAGCCCCCTGGCTGAGCATCTCCAGGCAAGGGAATGGCTGCAGAAGTGAGTTGGCCAAACTCAAGGGGAGCCAGAGGTGGGCCTATGCAGGTGCCACAAGCCCTCAAACTGACACAGAGAACCAGGAATCTTCCTTAGCTTCCCCAAGCCTGGAAGCTCAGGAGTAATACTGAAGGCATCAATAACCATCTATTACATATTCAAGTGTAAACAGGCTAAAAAGTAAAGGTGCTGGGATACGAATGGAACAGATATTTACAGCCAGGTTCGGCTGATTCTCAGGTGACTCTCAGGCACCTCCTGGGAAAATCGGCCTTGTCACCTCAAAGTCCACCCTCTTCTGGGCTTGGTCACCTACATGACCACCAGACTTGAGCTTCAAATGACTGTTTCCAAAATTCCACTTTAAAAACACCATTTGCATCCATGAAGTTGCTTACAGGAATGTGATTGGAGCTCTGCGTATCTCATTTCTGAAGAGGGGATGTGGCAGCATTTGGGAATGATGACCTGGCCTCCCGAGAACAAGAGGCGGCTGCACCCTCTGGTCTGCCATTAAAAGAGGGGGGTATGGTTGTCTTAGGGCAGTGGTCGGCAAATTCATTAATCAACAGAGCCAGATATCAACAGTACTTCTTCAAAATAGACTTGCCCAGGCTGAAAACCGACTTCTGCGCATGGGCCACGAAGTTTCAATCGCACTGTGCGTGTGCACCCGCACGTGGTATTTTGTGGAAGAGCCACACTCAAGGGGCCAAAGAGCCGCATGTGGCTCGAGAGCCACAGTTTGCCAACCACAGTCTTAGGGGGTTATAAACTCACAGTCCCATAGTGTGCTGTTTGGCTTGCATAGTGTGTTTTTTTTTTGTCTGCCAACATTTTCAAATGAGGATAGTTTACATGAAATGCCTCCCTTCTGGCTTATCTTGGAAATTTGTAACATTGACGTTCCCTCATGGCCACAGCTGGCTGAAGCGGACCATCACAGTGAGGACACAGCCAGCCTGCCCTTGACCAGCCAGCCATTCCACTGGCCACCAGGATATGTGTGTGTGTGTCCAACTCCTGTCCTGTCTTGGAATCAGGTGGGATCTCGCTTTCCCGGGAGGAGCTTTGGACGTAAATGCCCTGCTCTGTGGGGTCGGGGTGGGGGGCACCTGGCGGGTGAGTGGTGACTCTAAAATGCTTTCTGTGGGCAGGCAGGGCTCCTTCACACAGCTTTAAAGAGAGAAGGGCTTGTTCCCCTGCAATATTCTCTGGGTGACAGGGACGCTCCCAGGGCTGCTGAGGGTCCCCAGGGTCTTCCTAGGGTTTGCTGAGAACACATTGTGCCTCCGAAGAAAACCTCACTGTCCCTAAGGCTGGCCCCCAAACCCAGTGGGCGGGGCTGCTGGGGCCGAGATCTCTGAGGGGCTTTTCATAGCAGGACTCATTTGAGGACAGACTGGCTTTGACTCCAGTTGCTTCCCGGTGTCAGTGTTGGGGAGGCTGCCTGGGTTGGGCCAAAAGGAGATATTTTGAGGCAAAGCTGTCTCCAATTTCTACATTTGGAAAGGTCTCTGGTTGCTTAGGCACAGCTATGATTGGGCAATATATGTATTTCCAATGAGCCTTAAAAGAATACCACTCTTAGGGGTGGGGTGCTAGGTCCTCTTCCAGGGTGGCTGAGGCCTCGTCAGTGGCACAGTAGGAGGTGCTGGGAGCCTGTCGGCAGAGTTCTGCTCTGCTTTCTGGGGCCATTTCTTATCTGGGGAATAACAGCTGCAAATACTGGTGGGGACATTTTCTACGGATCCTGGTGAAGCCATGAGCAGAAGGAGGGAGGAGAGAAGCCCTTCTCTGGCAATTGTGTGGGGGTTTGGAGGGTCTCTGCCTAAATCCATACAAAGTCAGGGGTCAAGCCAGCCAAGGTGATGGTGACGGGGACCAGTGTGGACTGATTTCAGAGTGCCTGCACAGAAGGCACTGCCTCACTGCCGCCTCTGGCAGCCTGCGTTTGGGGACTGGTAGTGCTTTTTCCAATGCAGATCCACTTGTTTGGGACACACGTTTGCTGTTGTTGTCGTTTATACCTTAGGGTTAATGAGTTCCTGGTCATTGAAAAGGAGAAAATGTTTAGTGACCCTTTAACTTGCATCGGTGGGTTGTGGGACTGGGTTTGGGGGTGCAGAGTGGTCACACAGCATCTCCATTCTGGCAGCACCTTAAGGCATGACCCTCTGCTTGGCAAGAGGCATTTCCTTCCCTTCCTGCAGGCTCATTCATGCAGCCCTACATACTGGCCACCCCACATGACTTCCACCTTATATGACCAATTCATCTGTCTTAAAACGGAAAGTTCCAGAGCTCCCCCACCCACCCCCACCCGGCACACACATACACACACACATACACACACACACACACACACACACACACTCAGGCAGTTGGGTCACCCTACTCCCTGTCCAGCCTGGCCCTGCCACTGTGTCCCAGGCTGGGGCTGTGGTCCCCTTTGCAGAGGAGGAATCTGGACCTAGGACCCTCCGAAATGCCTATTCTGCTGACTCCACCCCTTGTTCTGTCCATTCCCCAAGCATCTTCCCCTGCTGGGGTGGGGTGGGTCACCCTCCTGAGGCAGCTGCCCTGGCAGTGGGCACAGCACCTCCCCTCCAAATTTCAAGGCCTTCAGATCCCACCCTGTGGGGCTGGGATCAGGGAGGGGGAGTTCTGCAAGGATTCTGCCTGCATCTCCACCTGGGACCAGGCCAAAGGCCAGCTTCCCCCACCCCATGGGGGAGAGGACTGTCGTCTTTCAGGATTGCTCCTGGCTGGCTGCAGTTGGGACTGCGGTTTCCCACCCTCCAGAGCATTGAGGGCTCTGTCAGAAAGCAACCAATTACACAGTGATTCCCGGGTCTCACTCCACTCCCTGGGCTACAGGAACCAAATAGAGCACTGACTCTGAGAAATGGCTGAGAAGGCAGCTTTGAGGGGCTGAATGGGGATTGATATGAGGGGCAGAGAGTGGCGAGCCCAGGTGCCTGTGGGTGCCCTCATGCCAGGGTTTCAAGGGACAAGGCTGGCATGGAGCTTTCCCAGGAACTCCAGCTGCCTGTTTGCCAGAGCCCAGGCCATATCTCCCTTCCTTGCCTCAGAGAAAGTCCAGGCCCTCTTACCTGTGTACAGCATCCAAGAAGTATGGCCTCGTGGGTGGGGGCTGGAGAGCTGAGGCCTCACTGTTACCCTGGGCAAGTCACACCAATGTCCCTGCCCACAGCCCCTGATTTGTCCACCATACAGGCTTGGGGCAGCTCAGGGCACTTTGCCACAGTGGGAAGTGTGACGGAGGAGGGATGGTTGGTTGCAATTCTCTGCTGAGGGTCAGCCACGGTGGTTCCAGTGGCTCTGGGAGGCTGACCCTGGCATGGTGGCCAAGGAGGGACCAGCAGGTTCACACGCTCATGTGGGGCAGGCAAAGCCACCCTCCACAAAGGACACTGGGTCAGTTACCCTCATCCACAGTCAGGAAAGTGAAAGGTGAAAGATTTTATTCTGGGGAGGAGTTGCCAAAAATACTCATCTGTGATATGGGGGGGCCGGGGGGGGGATGGAGGCTGGGGCTTCAGCGCCAGTGTCTGTCCAGGCGGCATAGACCTGGGTCAGGAAGAGCTTGGCCCCATGTGGACACAGTCCTTGGAGAGAGAAAAGAGAAGTCAGGGCTGGGAGTGGTCACCAGAAGGGAACTGGGGGGAAGCCTGGGGGACATTAGGAAGGGGCAGGCACACAGTGTCCCTGGGCTCCAATGGCCACCTGGTCTAGGGAACTCTCCACGCCAATTCCCTGGCAGAGCCTTGAGTCCCCCAGCCTCCCCCACTCAGGGAAGACCCCCCCCCCGCAACAGCTCACCCCACCTCCTCACTCCCAGGGGCCTCTAGTGGATGGTGGTGGGGGAGGGTCATGGTCTGATACTACACAGAGGGAAAACTTTTTCAGTCTATGAAATGTGATAGAGTATCAAGTACACAAAGGGCAGAGCACAACTGGACAAGTGAGGGAGTGAAAACCCAGAGGGAGAAGAGAGGGAGGGATAAGCCACCCACAGGAAGAAATCAAGCCAGGCGTGGACTATGCAGGCCTGCAGGCAGGTGTGAGCTCAGCTCTGCAAGCCGAGGAGGGCCCCTAAACTGCCAGCTCGGAATGTTCTGACCGCCCGGTTTGCTCTGTTCCACCAAGCGCATGGGCAGTTAGCATGGGAACCAGACTCGCCTCCCAGGCGTGCAGGACCCCAGCCCTGGATGGGACAGAGCAATCCTGGACTATTCCAGGGGCATCGCTCCAAGTCCCTCAGGGATTCGCCAGAAGTAAATACAAATAACCAATTTCTTTAAACATTCACTTCATAACAGTAATTACTGGTGGAAATAATCAAAACAAATTTTTTAAAAATGCATGTGGTAACATTTGGTTCCCATGAGAAAATTGGTCCTGGTAGAAATAATGGCACCCAAAGAAAATGGACAGTGGCAGACACTGGAACTGAAACTGATGAAATCATTTCAGCAAAGTAAAAAGGAAAGTGTTTTTTAAACCACTTGAACTATGCTATATTGAAAATTGGTCAAGAAGCCCTGACCAGTGTTTCTCAGTGGTTAGAGTGTTGGCCTGAGCACAAAGGAGTTATGGGTTCAATTTCTGGTCAAGGGCATGTACCTGGGTTGCAGGTATAGTCCCCGGTCGTGGTGGAGTCACATGTGAGAGGCAACTAATCAATGTGCCTCTCTCACATCGATGTTTCTCCCTCTCCCCCCAACCCCTCTCTCTCTAACAATCCATGGGAAAATAGCTTTAGGTGAGGATTAGCAGGAAAAAAATTGGCTAAGGGATTAGATTGGTTTAGTGGAAAATTCAATCTAGAAAGCTGTGCTCTTCACGTAACATAGGCTAAGAAGGATTGTGTTGTATTTATATGCAAAGTGATTAACAGCCACTAGGTCACAATGAATCCCTTATGGAGGTCCCCTCCCCTATGTCCAGGCCCCTGCACATTCCCCAGGCCAGGCTCAGGGCCTGGTCTTGGCTGGCACGGGGAGTGGAAGGGATGGTGGGGGCACAGGGTGCAGGGCTCACGGGTGGTCGGGCTACTAGGTCGTCTGCGTGCTGACTCGGGAATAGAGGCGCTGAGGCCTTGGATGCCTGATGGACCCTGAGGCCTGCTGGGGCTCCTGCAGGTGTGGCATCAGCGGAGGCAGCAATGGCAAGGGTGGCAGAGATGGAGTGTGAGCTGGTGTCGTTGAACGGGGGCCTGGAGTCTCTGAGTGGATGTTGGCACTGGAGCGCAGGGCTGGGAGGGGCAAGAGAGACCCGTGATTTGTCCTAAGAACATTCTGGGGAGAGACTAGCCTGACTAAGGAGCGGAGAAACTCTAAGCTGGAAGTGCTTCATCGCGGCTCATCCAGTCGCAAGCACCCTAAACCTCCGGGGTGAGGGGTGACCCAAGGTAAAGCACACCAGGAGTGGAGCAGGGCACCCGGAGGAGTCCTGGCTCTGGCATTCCTCAGCCCAGGGTCGCTGTGCCTCAGTCTCCCCTCTTTCAAACGGACTGGTGCCCCGTAACTCTGGGCACCAACTGGGATAAGGACAGATCAGAAGGGAGAGAGCGCTTTGTCCACTGTAAAGTGCCCACAGATGCCTGGTACAGGGCGATATGCATCAGGGGAGCTTAGTTCCCTAGCCTGGTCAAGGAGCCCTGACTGGTAGATGTTGGGGGAGGGCGGTGGTCATGCCCTGATACAGCTCACAGGGCTCCAGCAGAGAAACACCGGAGAATGAGTGGGCTCCCTTCTCCCACCTTTGCAGCCAACTGGCCACTTGGGAAAAGACAGCTGGCCTAGGTGCCCAGGCCAGGAGGCCAGACTGAAGGGTGAAGCAGGAGCCCAGAATGGGAGCTGGGTGCTGGGTGGGGTCCACTCCCGAGCATGTGAGAGATGTACAAGGTGGGGCAGGACAGCCCCAGTCTGGGACTGAGAGACCCAACCAGAATCCCAGTTGGGCCAGCGGCTTGGGGAACAGGTACTCACGGGGGCAGATGACACCAAAGCGCTCATATAGGTTTCGAGTCGGGGGACGTGGAACCTTTACAGCTTAGTGGAAAAGAGAGGGGAAGAGACAGGAATGGGTGGCGGCCCTTCCAGAGATCTGCCCCCCCCCCACCTCCCTGGAGCCCCCATCCTGTCCTCTAGCTCCTGCAAAGGCCTTTTCAGTC